TTAACACCACATTTGAGATGGAATGAGAAGACTTTTGTGTGGAGCTGCTTTTATGTGGCTGTGAAGTCTGTCCTTTAATTAGCATTCCTATCTGCTTGCAAAGCATGCTGTTTAATCCAATTTCTATATTAAAAAAAAAAAGAAAAGAAAACACAAGAGTATTTCTTGCACAAAGAATGACAGAAAAGCATGTTTGAATTTTTAAATCAAAACTATATGAACCACTTAGGCTTGGATATCCATCATCTCTGTGGAAGTTCAAATGGGCATAAGACTCAAGGGCAGTGGGTCTTGGGAGACATGAACTGAGGCTGAAGCTGAAAACCTAGCGGAATGCACAGTGTCTCTCTGAGAAACGTGGTTGCTATTTTAGTTAGTGGTAATTGATGATCAATAGGGACTGGCTTTGTCACTTCTACTCTTTTGAACTGAGTCTGATGGGTCTCTTATTATCCATAGAGATGTTACCTCTACCCCCAGAGCACTTTTTAATTCACTATCTCCTTTGGACAAGTGATTGAGTTCCCCAGTAATATCTTTAATGGACACTGTGTTGCTAAACCAAGGAAGCTTGGGATGAAAGAGACAGGTATTTATTTTTAATGGGGTCACCCTGTATCAGGTGAAACTTTCTGCTTATGGGTCAAATGCAAGTGTCACACTGAGTAGATGTTTCCATAGGATGAGCAGGGAGTAGAGCTTGTTTGTGCTACGGTTCCTTGGCCACCTGTCTTTGAAAGTATGCAGTGCTAACAGGCTTGTAAGTCATCCTTGTTGACAACTGGTGGCATGGAATCCTAAGACTCAAGGATGTCAGTTGGACATTTTTTTCCAATTTATATATAAAGATTTTGTCTTTTTGATATTTCAGACACTGATAATACTAGCAAGTCAAGCTTCTCTTTGTCTACTATAGGGCAAGACTTGGTAAAATGTTAGACTTTTGCTTGTCCTGCTGAATAGGATTAAGTTAATTTCTATGATAAAGAATCCTTGAACTGCGGAATTTATGTCTTGGGAATCACCCTTCTTCAAACTTTTTTAAGTACTTTAGAAAATATTACTAGTAAATTAGTTCAAAAGGCAATGTTGCTATCCCACCCTTGATATTGGATGCAAGCAGTAGGAATCAAAAACACATTAAAGCTTTGTTTTTAGTTTTAGAAAACATGCAAGTAGCTCATATTGTATATTCATACGTTCTTATTTTTTTCATTGTTTTATTTTTAAAATTCAAAAGAATTACTAAATTATGTATATTTCAGTGACTGTAAGTTTTGATTATGGTTCTGCTAACCATGATCATGATTTAATTTACAAATAAAATAATGGGATGAGATGGTGGATTTCTTGCATCCATTTTGATTTTATGAGTTTATGATCTTGTGTTCTTTGGGAGGCCAGAAGATATATTATGTTACCTATAAACTAATGTTATATGTTTTCTACAAAATCTCTGTCTAGTATTTAACTTTTTAATTTCTGTGAAGTTTGAACCTGCTCTATCTGGTTCCTTAACAGTTTCTTCTCTTGAATAACAAAATAATGTAACTGACAAGATCTTAGAAAGCAGCCATGTTGTTAACATTGTTGAAAGGCTTATTACAACATACCTTCCTTGAGCTGTCAGGATGTTGCCCATACTTGGTAATCAATGGATGAACCCAGCAAGGTGTATGGCTCTAGGAATCTATTCAACTCAAACAAGACATATACCAACCACCCCCTTTTGTAGCAATGAGGGATTATTTTTCCCTTTTAAAAAAGACTTTCTTAAAAAAAAAAAAAAGAACGAAAGAAAAGATTGCTTGTAAGACTAAAATTATGGGGAGAATACCCACTAAAACAGTAAGTGTATTCGATTCAGGCTGGACAATAAAAATGTATCTAGTAACTACCATGTTCTAGGCTTTTGTCTAATTAGTGGAAGTATCAAAATATATTAGACAACCTTCTGTAAAAATCTTATAATCTAGTTGGTGTATCAAGTTACCTGTAACGAGAGTTTTAATACGATGTGATAAATTCAGTGTGAACTCTGCCATGCAGACAGAGAGAAGGGGCCTTTTGGGAAAATCCTTGGAAGGAGGTAGGGCAGAGGAATCAAAGGAGGATCCCAGGAAAGATAACTTCAAAACCATATTTGAACAATATGCAGGAATTTTTTAAGTTGGAAGTATGCCTCAGTGTATGTGGCAATGTTTACATGTAGGTATGTGTATGGGTGTGGATGTGGGAGGAGCAGACATGAGGTGGAGGCAAATAGCTTGGGTCAAAGAAGCAGCATATAGAGAAAGGTTATATTTTTATTAAATATAGCAATTAAACAGATGGTTGTCATATAGAAAAGTATCGGTTAGGTTGACTATGTCTTTTTTTTCTGTCTGTTGATTTGCAGGCGTATAGACCCAATTACAACTAACGCTTAACTCCACAAAGCAAATGCAATGTTAATTTATGAGGAAGACTAAAGGACATATGACTCTGCTAATCAAACATAGTGTTATTATGAAGTCTTTTACTTTATATACAAAAATAACTTATTACTTAAATAACTATTTCAGCCACATCAGAGAAATATTTGGAAAATGAAGGCAAAAAGGAAATTCACTACCATATCACAGTGATTATTGTCTTTAATTTTAGGGTTTCTTCCATTTCTTCTATTTTTTTCTTTTTTTAACTTTTTTTAGTATACATACAATAAAACTCACTATTTTTTTAAACTCACTATTCTTTTATGTATAGCTCTGAGTTTTGATGAGTGCTTAGGGTTACATAATCATCATAACAATCAAGACACAGAATGGTTGTTACCCTAAAAAAAAATACCCTCATGCTGTCTTTTTGGAGTCAAACCTTCATCTCACCCTTACCAGTTACAACTACTGATCTATTCTCTGTCCCTATAATTTTACATAACCCAGAACATCATATAAATAGAATCATACAGGTTGTAGCAATTTGTACCTAGCTTCTTTCATTTAGCATAATACATTTGAGATTCATCCATGTGGTTGCATCAATCAATAATTTTTTTTTTTTATGTATTGCTGAAGATTTCACTGCATGACTATACCACAGTGTACCATTCACCAATTTAAGTACATTTGCATTGTTTCCAGTGTTTGGAGATTATAAATAAAGTTGCTATAAACATACATGTACAGATTTTTGTGTGAAAATAAGTTTTCATTTCTAGAAGTGGGACTGTTGGGCCATGTGGTAAGTGTATGTTTAACTTTATAAGAAACTGAGAAACTGTTTTTAAAGAGACTAACATTTTGCATCTCCACTAGAAATGTATGACAGTCCTAATTACTTTGAATCTTCATCAGTATTGATGTTGTCAACTATTTTTTTTAGCTACTCTAATATATGTGTAGTAGTATTTCATAGTGGTTTTGATTTGCACTTCCTTAATAACTAATGCTGTTGAGCATTTTTCTTATGCTATTTGCCATCCAGATATCTTCTTTAGTCAAGTCTTTTGCCTATTTTAAAATGTGTTTGTTTTCTTATGGTTAAGTTTTAAGAGTCCTTTTCATATTCTTGATAAAGTACTTTATTTGGTATTTAATTTGCAAATATTTCTCTCCTGTCTTCTCATTTCTTTGAAAGAGTCTTTTGCAAAGATTTTAATTCTGGTAAAATTCTATTTCTTTTTTTCTTTTTTTTTTAAGATTGATTGATTGATTTTAGAGAGACAGAGCACAAGTGGGATGGGGAGGGGAAGCAGAGGGGGAGGAGTAAAGGGGGAGGGAGAGGGACAAGCAGACTCTGTGCTGAGTGTGGAGCCAGATGCGAGGTTCAGTCCCATGACCAAGATCATAACCTGATCTGACACAGTCTGACGTTAAACTGACTGATCCACCCAGGCACCCTTAATTTTGTTTCTTATATAGATGATGCTTTTGGTGTTATTTTTTTCTTTTTTTTTTTTTAAAGATTTTATTTATTTATTTGAGAGAGAGAATGAGATAGAGAGAGCACGAGAGGGAAGAGGGTCAGAGGGAGAAGCAGACTCCCTGCTGAGCAGGGAGCCCGATGCGGGACTCGATCCTGGGACTCCAGGATCATGACCTGAGCCGAAGGCAGTCGCTTAACCAACTGAGCCACCCAGGCGCCCCTGGTGTTATTTTTTTCTACTTAAAATGCCTTTTTAAGGGTGCCCCTAGGTGGCTCAGTTGGTTAAGAAACTGACTCTTGATTTCGTCTTAGGTCATAATCTCAGGGTTGTGAGATTGAGCCCCTTGTCAAGCCCTGCATTGGACTCTGCGCTGGGCATGGAACCTGCTTAAGATTCTCTCTCTCCCTCTCCCTCTGCCACTCCCCCTCTGCTCATACTCTCTCTCTCTCTGTAAAAAAAAAAAAAAAAAAAAAAAAAAAACTTTTTAAAATATTTGTGGCCTTAGAATGCATGCAATTTTTATTGTCTATTTTCATCCAATATTATATCAAGAGTGTCTTTTGGTGTTATTATATACTTTCACTCATTCTTGAAAGTAACACATTTTCCAAAGAAGATAATAATGTATTAATTTGTTCAGCATAAATTCATTGAACACATGATGTACAGAGCATTATAGTAGCAAGAAAAAAAATAACATTCCTTTCTTTCACTCTAAGCTTACATTCTAGTGTAACATTCTCCGAAATTACTTGATCTATTTCTTAAAAATGCAGATTGTCTTGTTCTTTCTCTGAAAATTAATTTAATAGATGTGAGGTACAACCCAATAATTTTTTTTTACAATTGCCTGTAAGTCAAATTTTAAAAACATTAATCACATAGATAATAATATTATATAATGTTTCATAATAAGTTTAACTTTATTGAATATTTAGATTGCTTTTTGTTTTTCTACAATAAAAATTATGTTAATAGTGTGCTTTCATTATTTTTAACAAAGTCTACCAACACAGGAAATAACAAAGATGAACAGTAAGAGAACGAGAGAGATCCACATACATATTTGTTCATATAATATATGAACAAATTACATTCTGTTCATATAAACTCTTCAGCAGCTGATAACAGCAATGTCCAGATTTCTTGAAAAGTAAGCAATATTATATTATCTTTGTGTGTACCTAACTTGAGTCCACATTTGAAGAAATAAAATACAGTTGATCTTTGAAAAACATGGGGGTTAGGGGAACTGACTCCCCAGTCAAAAATCCACAAATAATTTTTGACCCCCCCAAAACTTAACTACAATAACTTACTGTTGACCAGACGCCTTACCAATAACACATACAATCAGTTAACACTAATTTTGTATGCTATATGTATAATATACTATATTCTTAGAATAAATTAAGCTAGTGAAAAGAAAATGTTATTAAGAAAATCACAAGAAAGAGAAAATGCATTTACAGTTCTGTACTGTATTCATAAAAAAAAATCATGTTTAACTGGACCCATGCAGTTCAAACTCATGTTATTCAAAGGTCAACTGTAACGGTTTATTTTTATGACTAACTCAGATGAATGGTATAAATGAAATTTATATTGTTTTCTTGATAACGTCTTAATGAAATTTCAAAAAGCTGGAGCTATGTGGGAAGAGGAATAAAACTCTTAAGTGTCTATATAATAGAAAAATACAGAAGAACTTCTGAGCCAAGCAACTGATGTTCTTTTCAACAAAAGTTATAATCCAGCTGCAGTATATTCAGTCCTCTGAGCTTGTAACTAACTCTACTTTCAGTCTCTGGGAGGAGAGCTGAACACCCAGGAAAGCCGGCAAAAAGCACACAATTATTATGATTGGGTCCAAATATGAGGAGCTGAAATCACACATTAATACAAACCCATTTCCTTCGTTGACCTTGACATTGCCTCCGGCTTTGTCAAGATAGTACATTTATGACCTGGTTATCTGCTTCCTGAAACTCCAAATTCCGTAATTGGCTTTAAATAATATACCTATGGAGAAAAAGGAAAAATTTATTTGAGTTAGGGATCCTTGGTCTCTTACTTCATAAAAATACGTATAGTGAATCTTTCTAGAAAGGGATGAACAGTTTCCAGAACTTTAGGATCAGTGGAATACTGTATTCAAATAATCATGGGTGAGTATAGTACAAGTATCTTCTTCTATTCACTATAAACTTAGAAAAGATGTAAAAGTGAGGAGTGGTAGGTTTACATAAAGAACAAGTTTTATTATGAAAAATATATATTCAATACCTGTTTTTTATATCATAATTACCTCATCCTACATGGTGTTATATTTTAAATAATTATTAATACTCACCAAGTTCTAAAAATATCTCTCAGTGCAACACTTTGGTGAGTGCAAAAATATTCCCAGGCCTTCATCTGAGAATTTCAGCACTTGTACCCATTTTTCAGGATTAAAAATTGTCCATCTGAGAATTTCAGATTAAAGACCATGGCTCATTCATTTAACAAATTCCTATTACTTCTTAAAAATATAAAACCTACTCAACTCATCTGAGGGAAAAGGATAAAGGAGTTAACCTTTACTATATTCTGGATACAAGCAATTTTTCATGATACCTCTCATTTGACCTTCACAATAATTTTTTTAAACATTCTTTTTTTTTTAAAGATTTTATTTATTTATTCATGAGAGACAGAGGGAGAGAGAGAGGGAGAGAGAGAGAGAGAGAGAGAGAAGCAGAGGGAGAAGCAGGCTCTCCACTGAGCAGGGAGCCCGATGCGGGACTCGATCCCAGGACCCCGGGACCATGACCTGAGCTGAAGGCAGACGCCCAACCATCTGAGCCACCCAGGCACCCCACAATAATTTTTCAAGGGTGGCATAAACATTTTAGGGATGATGGAAACCAAGGCAGAGAAACTGAAGTGAACCTTTTAACCTTGACACCTTGCACCTTCCAATAGTGGAAAAAGTGATTCTTTTTCTATGGAGTGCAATCAGATGATCCTCATGAATATGTTATTACTTGATGTCAGCAATAAAACTATAAGAACATGTCACATAATTGCGGTACTCCTTACCAACCTTTGAAAGACAGTAAAATAATGCACACAACACTTAATACATTTACAAGATGCATGTGTCTAAATGGTTGTGTAACACTTTAGAAAAAGAAAAAAAAATCTCCTTATTGAAGCATTTGTTCAGAAATTAATCAATTAATTTCTCTCTTTCAACATTTATCAAGCAAATATTATGAAACTAGTATTTTCATCCACATTATCATTCTTTAAAATGCAAACAGAATTTTGTGACTCCTGATTTATAAATGGGGACACTAAGGCTCAGAGAGGTGAAGGTGATTCAAGTAGTCAGTGGTACAGCCAGGATTCAACCAGATCGCCTTGAATCAAAGTTCTTCACGTTGCCTTTGTCTAATTTCTTATCTAGATGGTCAACAAACCGGTAAATCTGCAACATATGCTATACTTTCCACTTTAAATTTTTACATTTCCTCTTAAATGGGCATTCCCCAGCAATTCCACCTGAAGCTTAAACTTTTCCTTTCTTATGCTTGGCTTATCATTTCTCCTCTCCAGGTTGGTATCTGATAAAATCTCCCAGTTTTGCTTTAATTGGCATTGGCAACATGTGGTCTCTGATAAAAAGCATATTTCTTTCGAGATTGCAATCATCAGTTGGGCTCATTTTTCTTGGCCCCACCATCAAGCTGAACTTATTTGGAAAAAGAAACAGCAGCTTGTGGGTTACTAAATGCCAGAGAGCTGAACTTAAAAAAAGAGAGAGAAAAAGTCACAGGAAAACAACTTAAAAATACATTTAGAAAGTCTCCTGTGTGCGTGTGCGTGCGTGTGCGTGCGTGTGTGTGTGCGTGTGTGTGTAAGCATTGGCTTGCATCAATCACTCTGTTCACGTATAATATATATGCAGAATTAGTCTGTGTATGCAAAACTCTTAAAGGGCATGGTTTTTACCCATAGCCTATTTATTCCAAACATAGCTAAATGAGGAGGCCAAATATAGAAAGTGATGCTCCAGGGGCCCTACGGCCTATATAGAATTTAAACTCAAATGATTTGCAAAATCACTACTAAGACAGCTTGCTCATACTGTCAGCGCGCCAGCACCAGAAGCTTGGGGTGTATTTTTGTCTTGGCAGATGCACATTCTGTTATAAAGGTCTGTTCATCTGATGCCTTCCTTGTTTTCAGGTAATGCTCAGCGCTTTCTTGCAGGGGGAGGAGTATTGTTGAGCCTGTGTCCCTTCTCCCTGTCCTGTAGGAGAGACAGTCTGCACTGACTCTGACCATGGGACTAGTGTCCCGGCTTACTGCCTTTACAAGTTCATTTCTGTGCCACAAAACTACAGGTCACGGGTGCTCTCATTTCTTCCTTTTTCTATGATTCAATTTTATTTTCAACATTGGTCAGGACAGAGGGAAATAAATCAGTTTTAAGTGATATTGACAATGATTACATTTCTTTAAAAGTCACCTTAGGTTTGAGGAGTTTTTTGTGTTTTTTTTTTTAAGATTAAAACATGGTTTCCCAAACTGATTAGCATAGTTTTTAAGCCACTCTGAAGTGTTTGTTAGGCTTCCATGCTGGTCTCCATATGCCTCTTTTCAATTACATGTGCTGCCACAAGTATGGCTAAATGAAACGCTTCTTTAAAAACAGAAAGCAAACTGTTAGGCTTTGTGCAGTGTAACTAGTTAGAGTGTGACATCTCAAACTGCCCTGATTTCATCACCAAACTGCTAAATGTTCTGATTGCAGAAATAGCCATGAAAATGTATCTTAAAATGAGATAACTCTGTGGGAATTAAAGAAGAGGAGGAGAATTGGAAGGGATTAAAATAATATGAAATGGAGTTTAAATCATAGTTGTCTGGGAGGCTATCTGTGGAGAGGATTTTTATTATTGTGTGGTTGTAAAAAAATACTAATAGCCATAATAAGAATAATTCCGATGTTTATTGACTACTTCTTAAATGTTAGGCATGATTCTAAAATCTTCACATTAAGTCAGTTTATTAACCCAGTTAGTTAATCACAGCAACTCTATAAGGAAAGTATTAGAATTTTACATATTAAGAAACTGAGACAGAGAGATTTAGTAGTTTTCCTAAGGGCCAGAAGCTAGAAAGTGGTACAACTGAGATCAAGACTAGGGAGTGTGGCTCCAGAATTTGCATCTTATTTTAAGGTTACTTGGAGAAACAAACGCGAGGATTATATTAGGTAGCCCTTTGTTCATCTATGCTTGTGTTGCTCCTCCGTGGGTTATATTACTAGATTGTAAATTCTCTTGTATCACCCACTAGAGTGCCTGTCATATATCCAGTTCTCAGGAAATGTTTGTGGAATAAATGAATAAATGAATGAATGATATCTTACTTTCTGGGAAGTGCCATAAGTAAACCAATTAGAGTGCAAAACAAGACATCAGTTGGGCAAAACAAACAAACAAACAAAAAACAACTTGTGAAACATCTATTCAGCTTCTCATTTACTCTTTTCTTTTTCCAGCTTTATTGAGATATAATTGACATAAAACATCATGTAAGTTTAAGATGTACAGTGTGACGATTTGATACAGGTATCTATTGCAAAATGTTTCCCACAATAAAGTTACTTAAGGATGTGAAGGCGATCTGGCTGTGACGTCTGTCACCCCATGGATCACACATGGATCACCATTGATTCCACTGATCTGCCTGGCTAGGCAGCTGTCCCCTTCCTTCCTTACAGCTGCATGTGTGTCCCAAAGCTGCGCACTTGCTGGAAGAGGACAAACAAACAATAAAGTTGCTTAACACATCCTTCATCTCACATAGTTACTGTTTTGTTGTTGTTGTCATTGTTGCTGTTGTTGTAATGGTGAGAACATTAAAGTTCTACTCTCAAAGCAATGATCAAGTATACAATACAGTATCATTAGCAACATTCACCATGTTGTATATTAGATCTGTGGAACTTACTCATCTTATAACTGAAAGTTTGTACGCTTTGACCAATATCTCCCCATTTCTCCTACCCTTCAGCCCCTGTAAACCACAATTCTACTCTGTTTCTATGAGTTCCATATTTTTAGACTCCACATATAAGTGAGGTCATACAGTATTTGTCTTACTCGGTCTGACTTATTTCACTTAGCATAATACCATCAAGGTCCATCCATGTTGTTGCAAATGGCAAAATTTCCTTCTTTCTCACCACTGAATAATATTCCATTGTACATATATATACCATACTTTCTTTAGCCATTCATTTATCAACAGATAAGTAGGTTGTTTCCATGTCTTGGCTATTGTGAATAGTGCTACAGTGAACAAGGGAGTACAGAAATCTCTTTGAGATAGTGATCTTATATCCTTCAGATATATACCCACACATGACATTGCTGGGTCATATGGCACTTCTATTTTTTAATTTCTTGAAGAACTTCCATACTATTTTCCATAGTGGCTGCATCAATTTACACTCCCACCAACAATGGACCAGGGTTTCCTTCTGTACACATCCTCACCAGTATTTGTCATTTCTTGTCTTTGGGATAATAGCCATCCTAATGGGTATGAGGTGATAGCTCATTGTGATTTTGACTTATATCTCCTTGATGATTAGTGATGTTAAGCCCCTTTTCAAGTACCTATTGGCCATTTGTATGTCTTCTTTGGAAAAATGTCTATTCAAGTCCCTGCCCATTTTTTAATTGGATTATTTGGGTTTTTTTAGTATTGAGTTTTATGAGTCCCTTATATATTTTTAACCCTTGATCAAGGATTTTAACCCTTTATCAGATATCAGGGATTTTAACCCTTTATCAGATATATGGCTTGCAAGTATTTTATCCCATTCTATGAGTCATCTCTCATTTTATTGATAGTTTCTTTAGCTGTGCAGGAGATTTTTACTTTGATGTGTTTAGTTTTGCTTTTGTTGCTTGTCCTTTTGGTGTCATATCCCAAAGATATATTGCCAAGACTGATGTTAAGAAGGGTTTTTTTCCCCCCAATGTTTTCTTCTAGGAATTTACTGTTCAGGTCTTATGTTTAAGTCTTTAATCCATTTTGAGTTAATTTTTGTGGGTGGTGTAAGATAGGGGTCCAATTTTATTTTTTGCATATGGATATCCAGTTTTTCCAGCACGATTTATTGAAGATTATCCTTTCTCCATTGAGTATTCTTGGAGAATACTTGTCAAATATTAGTTGATCATATATGTGTGAGTGTAGTTCTGGGCTCTCAATTTTGTTCCATTGTTCTATGTGTCAGTTTTTATGCCAGTACCATACTGTTTGTTTACTACAGCTTTGTAATGTAGGTTGAAATCAGGAAGAGTGATACCTCCAGCTTTGTTCTTTCTCAAGAGTGCTTTGGCTGCTTAGGGTCTTTTGTGGTTCCAAATAAATTTTAGGATTTTTTTTCTATTTCTCTGAAAAATTCCATTGGAATTTCCATAGGGATTACATTGAAATCTATGAATGGCTCGGGTAGTTTATACATTTTAAGAGTCTTATCACTTCTGATCCATGAACATGGGATAACTTTCCATTTATTTGTGTCTTTTTCAAATTCCTTCATCAATGTCCTATAATTTCTGGTGTATAGATCTTTTACTTTCTTAAATTTATTTCTAAGTATTTTATTGCTTTTGGTGCTATTGTAAATGGGATTGTTTCTTTATTTCTTTTTCATATGGTTCGTTGTTAGTGTATAAAGTGCAGCCAATTTCGTATTATAAAATATTACTTGTTGATTAGGTTGAGAGGCATTGCAACATGGTAGGAAACGATTACACACTAGTTTGAGAGGCAACACAAATTCTAGTCTTAGTTCCAAGGCAGCCACAAACTCATCATTTGATTTTATTTGGTCACTCCAAGTTGAGCTTCAGTTTTCTGTTTGTCAAATAAGTATTTATTTAGAGAGAAACACTGTCTAACTCTGGCATCCCATAATATTTTCAAGAAATCAAGATTAGGACTTAACATTGGTTTTGTTTTAGTTTGTTTCTTTGAGACAAGTAGTCATTGAGTATTCATGGAATGGATCTAATTTATCTATTTATGAGCATGGAAAATGTTACTTTCATCAATGCTATGAAAGGTACATGATCTTTAAGAGAAGGAATGATACTTTACTTTTTGCAAATAAAGTAAGGTAAGTTGCTTAGAGAACAGTGGAAGTTGTTGAGTTCAATAATGTTTAGTACATACAAGAAGATCCACAAAACTAGGTACGTAAAAGTTAATAATTTTCTACAATACAATGGAATGCTTTGGAATCACCATCCAATTCATTTGACCTTCTTTTATACAATGGTTCTGTTCCTGAAGATACTATGTATATTTAAATAATTATAAAATGAGTAATATTTTAAACATACTGAGACTTTATTTAATGGAAATAAAACAGAGAGAGAATCCTTTGATAAATGAATTATCAAACTTTAAGCGTTCATTTAAGTAAATTTCTACCTAGCAAATAAAGTTAGGATCCAGAATAATACAAAATCTACAGGTTTTATATCTACAGAAAATACAGGAACAGCCCAGAGATGGTTTTACTCATTTCTGGAACAGGATTTTGAGTTACAGGTATATACCTGGTCACAGGAAATCCAGACACATGGAGAGCCAGATTTATACATATGATAAATTATTTTAAGGGTTCTCTGAACACCAATGCCATCATCCATCAACGTGAAGCTGCTTCTACAAATGTGCATGCATTTCCTAAAAGGATTTATAATCTAGCCAATACGGTACATTTTGAATGTGTTACAGAAAGGACAGATTTACAGGAGACAATCTGCCTTCATGATGATTGCATATTGTGGCATTTCTAGTCCATATGGATCAGTAAGACTTGGATAGCAGGCATTTGACCTTCAAAATCATGCAAATGTGAAACCAGACTTCTACTCTTACAGCTGGGAACGTCAGTGGGGCTTCTTTAGTTTATTCTAGAGGCATTGATTAAAACATAATTTGACTTCTAAAAATTATTGAATTTTATTTCGATGCTTACTTCCCCCCTCCCTGGAGAATGATTTGGTCTTTTGCTCCCCTCATCCATATTCCCTCTGGCTAACCTTCACTCATTAGCACCCAGAACTCAAATACTGATCATTTAAGAGAGAACTTGCTAACCCAGAGCCACAGGCTAACTATAAACAAGACTTCAAATCTTTTTGTTCATGCCATAGTTAATCTCAAGTAATAACTTCTGAAAACCTTTGAAAAGGTCTGAGAGTAGCTTTCTGTCAGAGGCCTTAGGAAACTGTACATTTTCTCACTGTGAAACCTTGATCATGCCAGATATAATCAGACTGTTTATCTGGCAATGTTAATTTTCTGGGTTTACAGTGTAACAATTCTCCAAGATTATTGGAACAGAATCACAAGAAGTTATATTTGTTAATCGGCCAATTTTTTTTTGCATTTAAACATTCAGTGCAAAATGGTATCACATTTTCTAGAGTGCAGACAAGACTGTGCTTGAATAAATGCATTTTGCCAAAGCAAAAGTAATATTTAAAAAATCTCAAAATTGAGAGAAACAATTTCAACAGTTTTCCTCTTTGTGATTTAAAGCTTTGAGAATCCTGCAGGAGAGGCAAACTAGAAGAAGCTATAGGCATCTTTGTGACCACATTCTGCCAAGCTAAACATAACATGAAAAACTATCATACAAGGGAAAAAAATAGATCTGAACAAGATCTCTGCCTCTAATGAGGCAAAATGGGATTCTCCTTCCTATCCTAGCACCACCAACCACCTCAGCTACTCCAAACTCCTCCATAAAGGGATGTTTATAAGCTTCTGGTCTAGACAGCCTTTGGGCTTTGGGCTATAAGCCTCGAAGTATTCATATGTTTGGTATTTTATGTATTCCTATTTCAAGATTGTGCTCCAAGCAATTCATTTTAAACTTACTATGAATTCTTCATTGATAAACAATAAATCTTATATCACCTGGCTCTTGTCTCACAACTCAATTCAACCATTTCCCAAATGGAAATTTCTTTCTGCCCATGAATAATCAGCTTTAAATTTTAGCAGATGCAAAGTTGAGCATCTCCATTTGCTTATGATTAGGGCAATGTCTTTCAGTTCTTTTCTGGAAGGTGTAAGCATCCAGTATGCTGATTCCAAAGCACCTGAAACTACAGCAGCTAGTGTTTACAAAAGAACTTACCACATGCCATTTATGGGTCTAAGCTCTTTCCATGCTCATGGATTTTCTCACAATGACCCCATGTAGTAGGTACTGTGATTGTCTTAATTTTACAAATAAAGAAAATGAGGTTTAAAGAAGCTAGGCTGCTGCCAACTGTATTTCCTTGGTCACAGTTGGCCCTCATGAAGGATCTTGAAACCAAGAGTTTGAAACCAAGCCAGAAGTCTTTACCATTTGCTTGTACAGACAGAAAATTGCCAACACACTGATGGATATGCATTTTCATTGTTTATAGACTTGCTTAATTGGTATCTTTGATCAAAAAGTTTGGTAGAAAATTAAAAATCCTTATCAATTATAAATTTACCCTATTGGCAGGTAAAATGATAGCCCAGCACCATTAAGTTACAGATACGAGGAACTGGGAATGTGATAGATGGAATTGACCAGTGGTAGGCAAGTCATATTCTCTTATGAGTTCTCACTTTCCCCCTGTATAAAATAAATCGTTGGAATAGATAAATTCTAAAGTCTCTTCCAGAGTTGACATTCTATGACCTCATGTTGAATCTTCAGTGGTAAAGATCACATTGTTTTTATTTATAAAATTTGGTATATATAAGCATAACTCAGAAAAAGAAGGATATAGGCTGCTCATTATGTTTCTTTGTAGAAAAAGAAGCCACATCTAGAAGCCTCACTTCCAACATATGAAGACGACTATGTATTTCATTATAGAAGCCAAAACAGGTATAATTTCTACTCTTGAAGAACCAATGTGGCAACTTCAGAAGAGCCATATAAAAGGGAAATTGCCCATTGATTCATGTAAGACCTTTTTCCCTACCTTTAGTATATTCCTACTGTTTGTATTTGTATACTCTATCAACCTAAGGTGATCTTGCCTATCACACAAAAACATTTTACATACCTTGGAGAATATCTGGAAACTTGTCTCTAAAATTTGGGGGGGGGTTGGTGGTTGAACATTCCCTTAAGAAAAATACACATGAACACAGCGTACAATTTCTCTGTGTTCCAGGACCATGTGTTTGAAGAGCAATCATCTTAACTCTTGCTTGGAGAACTTTTATGATGCTTAGAAGAGTTACAAAGGAGTTTAGCAAAGAGCAAAAGAAAGGCTAGTATGAATAGGGCAGGTTTTTTTCCCCTTATAGATACATCATGGGGCTTTGGGCCAGGGTGGGATTCCCCTAAAATAATATTCAAGATTTTTTTGCATGTGCATACAGAAAGATTCCATCATATTCTCAAAGGAGTCTCTACATAAAACCAAAGAAAAGGAGGTCTGTTAATGAAAGTAGTCACACGATTGCCAAAAGGCCAGGATCCCAAAAAAGATCCTGCTTGTTAATAGCAAAAATATTTCTTCTACTCAACTTATGTTACCCCTTACCCTTGCTTCCAATGTCACTGGATACCCACTCCCCCAAAATGCTCTTGTCTGACTTCTTCTCTTAAAGAAATAGAGTTCTACTAATGCACTGTAGATGGAAAGGAACCAAAATTAAAATTCAGAACAATTTCTTTTTATGCAAAGTAAGTTAAACAGATTTTTTTTTTTAAATGCAGAATTTTGTGTTAAGGAGAATCCTTAAGTGAGGTAATTAGTTGACCAACTGCTCATTTGCTTTCAGATGCATCTTCTCCCTTTCTCTGCTCTACATTTCCGGAAACATTATCTTCTAAACTCACTTGTTCTCTCACAAACCTGATAGAAGATTGAAGGATGAGAAAGGGAGGCCAAGGCTTTCCCCACAACCCTTTCCAGATGTGTCTGCCCTCCTCCATGGTGCCAGTTCCTACCGCACAATGCTCTTTGTGCTTCCAGCTCCCAATGGGCAACCTTCATGTGGTTCTAGCTCTGCTGAATGGTCCTGGCTTCTGGATTCTGGAAATAGCACCTCCCTCTGTTCCTTCAGCTTTAGCAGTGGCACTGTTGTGAATGATCTCTAGTTTGTCTTACCATCTCCTATTTGACCTTCAGCTATTCCATAACTCTTGTAATTCTGAATTTTTTTTTATTCGAAAGATCTACAATGGCTTCTCTTTTCCTGGTTGGACTCTGATTGTTCCAGGTAGAGTGGTTGTAGATGAGCTGTTTCTGGTGCAGGAGACAGAGGGAGTCAGGACAAGTATTCTGGAAAGCAAACAGATCCGAAATGTAGATGGAATAGTGGTATATAATTTCTGATAAAAGATATACGTGGAAATATTTTCTGTGCAATATAGGCAGTTTTCTATGACTCACTTTCATCCAGGCATGCAGAATACCTGGTATCTTTTATGGTCATTCTCACTTTCAGTCTCTTTTCTTGCTGCATTTTGCCCTATGGAATCTACAGGTCATTCTATGTCACATTATGTAATCCCAGAGTAATTCAAAAACATAAATTGCCTGGGGTTAAATAAAATTCTTTTTAACTGCTTTGAATGAAGGGACCATGACATGAGTGCAGGTATCACTTTATAAATGCACAATTTCAGCCAAAGAAAATATGTAGATAAATAGATCTGTAGGTTTTATACATTTTCCTCTGTGAGATCCAGTGGGTAAGCAGCAGCCTGGAACTGAAAAGCCTTTGAAATATCCTCTACTTTGCCTCTCATGTTCAGTGACCTTGAGTAAGTCACCTAAATTGGAGGCACCCCTGGCTCTGGAGGGAATGATCTAGTGTCTGGGACAGCAATCCATTTTAAGATAAAACAGGCTGTAGAGATGTTCAGCGCTAGAAAAACTTAACAAAATAGCATTTGGATGTGCCCATGTGCATGAAACCCTCTGGAGAGTTCTCTCTATTATTATAATCAGTCATGTTTAGTTATCTCTGTTTATGTTGATGCATGGGGATTCATATTTCTAACACCCATTCCCGTTAGCTCCATAGGCCCCCTAGAAAGAAATTCATTTTACAAATTCAAAACAATTGCTTAGTTTTCATTTGAATTAAATTTCCCATCATTTCCGCTTTGCAATAAATGTCAGCTGGTTAACACAGAAAACACTGAGACTTAGGTTAAAAGTATTTGCAAACATGCAATTAGGAATTGACGAAAATAGTTGTCTACTTCTGTTTGATTAAAGCATCAACTGCCATCTTCAGCACTGCATGCCAGATTTCTCTGCAAAAGGTTATCTTCCTCACTTAAGGGGGCACTTTACCCCTGGGCTTGCCCTTGTTTTAAAGAGAACTGAACATCACACTACTCACTCTGGAAATCTCGTAATATGATCCCAGCATAGTCTGATTCAAGTTGCCTTTAGAACAAAGCACATGTGTTTTCCTCCCTCCCCTGTGTCCACCTCAAACATTGACAATTACTTCTGGCTTTTTTTTTTCACTGAAAAAAAGTGTTTTTAATCTAGTGTTTCAGGAAACCTTTACCAATTGGTTAGAGCTCTCATACTGGTGAAATTATTCTTTAGAAGTATAATGCAAACTCTTTAACACACGGGTGACATCAAGTATTTATCTTAATACGAGACTTGGACAATTCCAGCAAATCATGTCTTTCAGAAAGTATCACTGTGAGATTTTTAACTTGACAGATCTGGAAGAGAACACAGCAAAACTTGTTGCAAGTAACTAGTACTCAAAACCTACGGTGTATACATTTCCCTAGGAAGAGGGAAAAATGAAAGCTGAAGGCAATGGGAGAACTAAGAAGCTTGTTCTTATTTCACAAGGATAAGTGTCTGAGACCTGGAAGGGATGTCACCTGGATATAATATCTAAATTGAGCTGTGGCCAGTATAGCTAGGGATATTTAATGATGGTGAGGAGAAGAGAAGGTTCGGGTTTGACGTAAGGCAGAAACCACCTCACTTGATTTTCACTTTCTATGTTTAAAGGAGTCTTTTTTTGGTGAGGGGTGATGCTAAAATTTAAAATTACAACCTAGCTCATTGAGAAAGTTTCAGCAACAACCTGTTTGTTGAATTCCTGCAAATAAATATTTATTGACTAATCACTGCATATAAGACACCGTGTTTGGTCCTTTTGCTCCTCATCTATAAAATGGGGATTACAATGCTTATATTGTCTACCTCACAAGGTCTCCGGGAGGATTAAAGTGAACAAATGTTTGTAAAAGCATTATTAAAGTATCAAGGAGTATCTTTATTAGTCATATTTTAATGCTAATTTTTTATTACATGATAAAGGAAGAGCTTGAATAGGAATTAATCCTTAATATGAAATGTGAGGCAAGGGGAAAAAGCAACCAGGGATTGCACAAGATTACGAAGAATGGTCTGGAATTTTAGAGCCATCACATATTTTGAGACCTAGCACAATGCTCGGGTCGTAGAGTTATTCACTAAATGTTGAGTGAGGAAATTAGCAGATGACTGAATTTAAAAAATGAGACTTTGTGACTTTACCTTGACAGTAATTGTGTTTGTGTAGTCTCTTTTCTCATGTCACCTGGGCTTTAAACCTGCCATGTTTTCTGGGCCTTCATAAACTAAAGTTTTATGGGAGCAAAAAGAATGTCTGTTGGCTCCTTTCCTTCCAACAAGACATCACATTCCTGTGAGCATTTGCAAAGTCTCATTCTCCAGCTTCTGTTCATGATATGACCATCTTCACAAATGCTTTCACATGTTCCCATAGCTTCACTTCCCATATTTACTTGAGAGACATTTAATCTAAATATCTAGCCCTGACCCTAACCTTCTGACCCCCATTTACAGTGGCCTCCGGGATATTTCCTCAGAGAGATATTTATCTTCTCTCTTTCCTTTTCTCCTTATCATATAAATCATAAAGCCAATAATCCAGCTAAGAATCTTGCAGTTATCATCATTTTTGTCTTCTCTCCCTTTTTCCCAACCATCCTCCCCTTGCACTTAATACTCAGTTCCTTACTACATAGAGTTCTACATCTCCATTCTTACAAACACATAGCCTCCACTTTCTGCCTTTTCTTTGGGGCTGTCTATTATCTCTTTGGACTTTAGTCACAGCTTTCTAATTGCTTTGCCCAACATCCCATTTCCAAGCTTTCCCTGGTGTAGTATATCAACCCTGCTTGTACCAGAATTAGCTCTCTGAAACGTAATTTGCTCAAGTAACCTCTCTTGTCACCACATGCAGCTCTATATCCACCTTAGCTCTGCTAGAACCTTCATAGCTCTAAGTCATCTGTAGAATCAAGAGCAAACTTCTCAATGTGTCTTTCAAAGCCTTCCCCAGTTTACCCTGCCTATCTTTGAGCCTCATCTCTTGGTTCACTTTCAGTCACTCTACGTTTCAATAATGCAGAACTACTTATTTTTCCAGAGCATGCCTACCTCTGTGCTTTTGTTCAGTACTTTATCCACATGGACTGATTCTTCTTCCTTGTATCAAAATCATGTACACCTTAGAGTTCAGGCACAGATCTTTCACTGATCTTCCTTTTAGATTCTAAAAAGGATTGTCAGTGGATTGTTCCTTTCTTAGAGTTCTTATTTATTGTTGTTTATTTTCTAGTGGAACTATCTATATCATGCTTTTTACTATTATATGGAATTATTTATATGCTACTCCCACTGGAAGCTCTTGCATAGTGGACATTATGCGTTATTAATTTGTGAACCACTGTTCCACCCCTAAATACCTGGCACAGACAACCACTGTTCCACCCCTAAATACCTGGCATAGACATAATAATTGCTCATTAAATTTTAGTTGAAGTTTTATAGAAAAAATACTTTGTAGTGCTACTGACATTTAAAATTACTAATATATGGGAAAAGTAAGCCTTGATTTATTTTCTGTGGGGGCCAGAAAATTAGTTAGTGAGTTAAATAAACTACTGGGGCAAAGTAAAAGGAGATCCATTACATTTTGCTATTCATTTTTTTTCATGTACATCTATATACGTATAAAAATGATTAACTGTACACATGTTCTTATGATTTCAGGATAATCGATACAGATCAAGTGAAAAAGGTAAAATTAGTTAAATCTGAGCAATAGCCTGTCTGGAAAGAAAAGATACTGTTAAATGGCAAAGATGACTGCTTAATATCAAATGAGTTTTTTCTAGGATTAATTGGGAGGAACTTCTTAAAGATAAATTTCTGTTACTTTTAGTTACTAAAACTATTCATAGTAAGGTCTGAATAATACTTTCACATTTAAGATGAAAAGGAAAAAATAATTTTCTCAAAATTAATTATTATTAAGGAAATTCAATATAAAGAATAGCAAGTGGGGTGCCTGGGTGACTCAGTCAGTTAAGGATCTGACTCTTGATTTCTGCTCAGGTCATGATCTCAGAGCCATGAGATTGAGCCCCCACATAAAGCTCCATGCTGGGTGTGGAGCCTGCTTAAGAGTCTCTCTCTCCCCCTCTTCCTCTGCCCCTCCCCCTTCTCTCTTTCTCTCTTCCTCTCTCTAAAAAAAAAAAAAGTAGCAAGTGAATTATACTATTTATGTTAAACTGACCTCAGAATTATATAGTATATAGTATTTTACTTATGCCATATTACTGCAAATCAGTTATTGAAAATACTTCTCAATACTCTGCTCAAAATACTGGTTGACCCAAATATAAAAACAGAAAGTTCTCATCTAACAGGAATATATGTTTATACATTTAAAACTATCTTATTGGTATGTAATATTAGACATACAGATGGAAACTAGCCCAATTATTTAAAGATGATCAAAGTAACAAAAGGAAACAACCACCCAGATTGTTAATAAAACACATTGGATCTATAAATTTATCACAGCCTACTTAGTCAAAATTAAGAATTGCAATAAAGGAAACCGTTAAAAACTATTTATAAAATTTTACTACTAATGGTAATTTTTAAATGTTCTTTAACTCAGTACAATCTAGAGATACTTTTTACAGACTTTTAAAAAATATTCCTTGATACGACCAAAGTATCAGGAACTAATTTTCCAGAAGAGCAATTAAACAATGGAGTGGCTGTAATGAGTATAAAAAAGCTAAGAAAATAATCACTATTTAGACCTTACGGTAGAATAAGATTATTACAAAATTATACTGTTTTTAGTAAAAATCTATTTTGTGATGGTGACACTTAGTGGGACACGTTCCCTGTCCCTCTGGCTATAGCCTCCTAAATATTCTAATAACTCAAGTAAACTGCCGGGACAAACAACGCAGCTATGAATGTGTCTGGAGATTCTGCATCTGCCTTCCTTAATCAACTTCCTTTCCTGAATATGAATTGCAATAATGAGTCAATTAACGTCCTCAAATGCCAATGAGATGCAAAAGAGATTGGTGGTGGTGGTGGTGGCAATGCGTTTCGGGAGCTGTTCCAATGTCTGGATTTTAACGAGAATCACACACTGAGCTCACAACTGATTATTTATCTCATGCAAACGTGACTGGCTGGCACTTTCCCCTGCAGCCTTCCCCATGGCTCCCCCAAGAAAGTAGGGAAAGATAAATCTAGCCTTATTATCTAGACAATCTCTTTGGTTTGGAGTCATTACTCCTAAGGCTTCACTTCTAACCTCTTTACTCGGATGAAAAGACACGTTTTTGATAATTTTCCCTATCAATGTTCTGCATTGACACTTTACACATATTCTGAGATGATGATCCTTTTTGGTATATGCTAACAAGGCATTAGCAATCTATTTTCAAAGCACAGCCTCTGTTATTCCTTTAAGGTGCATTTAAATAGTTATTGTAATTTATTGTCTTTGTCTGCCAAGAACTTTAAATATATTACTGTATCTCAAAACACATTTTTTTGTTTCTTTCATAGTCTTTTTAAATTGAAATATAATTGATATATAACATCATATTAGTGTTAGGTGTCCAACATAATGATTTGAAAAATGGATATATTGTGAAATGATCACCACAGTAAGTTTAGTTATCATCCATCACCACACATAATTATAATTATTAATATAAATATTATAAGTATGATTCTTCTTCCCATTTAACAGACAATAGAACCGAGACTCAGAAAGTTTATACAACTGCTGAAAGGCAGCCGCAAACTCTGCAATCAGGCCCATCAGCCTTGATGCTTATGTTCTTTGCACGAGGAAACAATGCCCACAGCTGGGTGAGATTTGATTTCCTACCTGTTTACATGGAATTTAAGGGAATATTAAAACTCCAAATTTCAAAACAGCAATTCTCTATCTTTAATTTCATTAAGAATCCTTCAGGTTTAATGAATATTAACTGTTCCAGTGCAATTTACCTCCCAGATATTTTCAGTTTCCTCATTTTAAAAGCCTGGACAGCTGGCTGACCACTTGGCAAACACAAGACCCCCAAAGTAAAATGATAACTCTGGCTGCATGGCCACTTTTCCCTGACAGATTGGAACCCCTCACTGGCCATATTTTAATGTAAAAACTGAACTACTGAAATTCCATCATATGCTTTCTTCCCAGGGAGTCGAGAAGTGTCTTTCTGAGGAGCACGTAGGCATCCATAATAAAATCCGCATGCCAGAGTGACCAATTTAAAGCTTGTTCTTCTGAAAATGCATCTTTCTTAATTGTAGCACTAGGCAGAGTGGGGAGAAAGTCATAGTTTAGTGAATTTCCATGAAAGTCAAGTTATTTCCAAGGTAACTGGGGTTTAAGAAAAAAAAACTATAGAAAAGCAGTGGCTTTGTTTGCACAAATTTATAAGTGCCATTTTAGCAATGTCTTACATGGACTTGTGACTTGCACCACGTTAACTTCCTGTTTATTGTTCATATCTATATCATGAAAAAAATTCTTGTATTTCAAACTGAGAATCCTTTTATTCTAGTAAGCCTGTTTGCCAATGCTGACACTGTTCTATTTAGCAAAAATTCTAGAATCATCCTCTCTCACTAAGATGCATCCTGTAAAATTAAAAAAAAATTGCATTTGAAATGCAGTTAAAAGATGTGTCATTATTTATGCTGCCTTGACGTGTTTGACTATGAAAAAGGGTAAAATACAATGACCTTTCATTCATTAAATGTGCTATCAAATAAGGACGATGTGACAGTAAACTGGGGCCCCGCCACCTTTTCTTATCAAATGTAGAGAGGTGTTAATCAATGTGCAGTGATCATTCATCCCCAGCAACATATCAGTTTAGGGGCTGAAGACATCATTTTATGTTTTAATGTTGAAATCATATGATGTTGGCTTCTTCAAAAACAAAATATCTAATGGGACTTTAGTGTAAATGCTTTAGGAATTAAATTTTTGCAGACACTAGATTGGTTTGCCATTCTTGAACTTTGGAAACCCCTGCAGAATAATCCAGAATGAGGTTACATATGAGTAAGGAAAAAATCATTATGCCTTTGGAATCCAATATAAACCAAAACAATTTAGCTGTTACTGCGTCTTGCAAAATTATACACAGAAAAGTAAATCCACAAAGGAATTCCACAGCAAGTCATTGCTGCAAACAAATCACACTTTCACTTGCTTCAGTTACTTTCAAGATTATATTTTAAATTACAGAGCACAAGCAGAGAGAACTGGAGAAAGGATCCTCTTGTATTCCAGTGATGTGGCCTGGAGGTGGTAGCTAAATAAGCTCTTTACACACATTACTGAATAATCTATACACTCGAATAATTAAAAGCAACAATCCCAGTTTACTCATAAAAAGTTCTTCCAGGGTCCTCTTCAGAGTAGTTACAGATGTTCTTCTGCTTCCAATCTAAATGAGCTTCAATAAAATGTATTTTACAACTCTCCTTGGTACATTTAGATTCCTAATGAATGTCAAAAAATTCCCCTTTCCTTCAACCCCATTTAAACAAATTGGAAACTAAGTTCTTTACCTCTCCCAGAAATAATCTAATAGTTTCATCTAAGAAAAACTTTTTATAAAAACTCTTATGTGCAGCTTAGTTTCTTACAGCTCTTAAAATTTGATTTTGTAGACTATGACTATAGGTAAGGTTTTTATTTTATGAAGTCACATAAAAATCATTGAGGAACCTGAGGGGTGGGGGCAGGGTTGACCGACATAACAGACTGCAAGGACTTTGTGATTTTAACCTAACACCTGTGGGATACTCTTTCTTAGCAAATTCTGAATTTCTGATATCTGAATTTCTTTGGATTTTCTGAATAAATTCAAAGTGAGAATGTTCACTATACAAACACACACACACACACACACACAAAAGTTTACACAATTTCATTAAAATAATAACCAGTGGTTGAACTTGAACCAAGTTGCAGCAGTTAGGTACCACAGCTATCTTATTTCTGTGCTCAAAAAAAAGTTCAATATGGGACCTTTTGATAATATATTCAGTAGAATCTCACATTCTGCAAACTGGCTTTTTCCCAAATTCTGCCATCTGATCTGTTTTCTGCTGGTGCCTTTCATTCTCTCATAAGGCAGGTGGTCAGAATTGAGCAGACAAGTAGTCACCTCATGGTCAAAAAGATGCTTGTATTATGATAAATTGACCCCATGACTGCTAAGTGTTTTTTGCTGTTCCTTGAGCACAATCATCACTTTTTAAAATGTATACTAATTTGACAATTAAAACAATGATTTACTAATAAAACGTATGACATCAATTCTGATAATAAGAAAATCATGAAAGAAAAATATTTGACAGAGAATATTGTGAAATTCCATTCTTTCCAGAATCTTCACTTTCCTCCCTAAGAAAAGGCCTAATACGTAATGTTTTTCAAAGGACTCTGATGCTTAAATTATCAGGTGTTGAGGAGATGAAGGCAAGAAATACTATCACATTGGTGAGTTTGTTATTTGTGGAACTATCTTAATTGATAAAAACAAAACTTCTCTCATGAATTAGGAAGTTGATACATCAGTCACGGATGGTCAACTGAAATAATATTCTACTCAATGTCTTAGAAATCATAGGAAGAGTTGGCCATTGACTGAAATAAGCAGTGGAGAGTGAAACACATCTCTGTTGAGTTGACTATAAAGTACTTCAAATACCAGTCTAAGTACTGTCTTAAAACTTCCCAATGACACTATAATTTTTTTCTGCCACATACAATTGAAGCATAAGGTCTCATTCACAAAATGTATAATCATTCAGGATTATTGCCTAAAATTGTAAAAATATTTAAATTGCAGCATTGTAACCAAAATACAGCCATAATTGTTTGCCAATTAAGTGCCAGATAATGACGAGCTGGCCAGCCTTTCATCAGAACTTTAGGCTCCATCATGACGCAGTGGTGATGGAGACAAGGCCTGCTGGGAGCAAAGATCTTCTGAAATGTCTTTACCTTTTGGATTCATTCTTTCATTTCATAAGGGTACTAACAGATAATTATATATTTTTAAAGCTGATGTCTTAAAAAGACATATTTTTAAATTCTCTCATCGTTTACTCTCTTCCAGTCACTTTGGCCTTCTCACTTTTGTTCGGACACACGAAGCATGCTGCTGTCACACAGTCTTTGTTCTTGCCCTTCCCTCCACCTTCCATGTTCTTCCCCTCAATTTCAGTCTGCCTCACTTGCTGACTTTCAAGATTTTGTTCAAAGAACTTGCCATCAGAGAGACTATCCCTGCCCACACATTGTAAAATATTAACTACTTCTCTTCCAAAAATCTCTAGGCCTTTACCCAGCTTTATTTTTCCTCTTGTACCATGTTGTATGTTATACCTTTATGGATCAGTTGATTTAGTGTTTCTCCCACAAGAATTTAAGTTCCAGAAGAGCAGGAATTTTGCCTGTTTTGCTTATTAGTATATAAGCCAGCACCTGTAATTATAACAGGCATACAGTTGATGCTCAATAAACATTTGTTAAATGGATGAATAAAGTCAACATCACATACTTGGAGAAGCTATTATGACTCTCCTGTATAAATCTCAGGGTAGAAGTACTGCTATGCATTCTTAATTTTTAAAACCATATATGTATATATACATATACATATACATATATATACATATATATATAGTTGCCTCATACATGTTAGATGCAATTTGTATTATTCAATTTGAAGGAATTAAGTAGTTTCTAAAGACTTTTAATTTGTGGGTAGGGATATGGAAAGAGGGGCCATGTTAAAATATTGGAAGAATCTGTATTAGCAGTTTACTGATTGTGTGATCGTCGTATATCTTCCTAGGTTTGCTTCCCCTTACTTCCTCTTCTTTATTTCACATTCACACACATTCATGGGAAAATACTTGAGATTATTGACTCTACTTTTTAAATAATTCAAGATGTACACTCATCAGCAGTATTAAATTCTTGGGTCATGTAATAAACATCAGGTTATGTATTTAGTGCAGACCTTGACATATCATAGTTTAGTACAGACTTGTGTTTGAATATTGCAACAGTGAGTTATCAGCTGTATGACTTTGAGTAAGTTTCATAATTTCTCTGTAAAATGAATATAACAGCTATCTCACAAGTTGATTGTGAAAATTTAATGAGATAATATATTAAAAATTCAGCATGATATGCAAATTACACACAAAAAGTCTTCGAACATATGTTGATTTTTTTACTTTCCTTTAAAGAAAAAAAATAATTATTGGAGAACTGCCAAAAATCCACTTTTTTGGATAATAATGACACTATTAAGATTAATGGCTTTATCAATTATAATATAGCTAATATTTACTGGATATTTATTTTGTGCAAAGTGTTATCTAAGTAAAATTTATATTTTATCTCTTTAAACCTCACAAAAACAGCATGATGGGGATTTTATCTTACTTTCCTCATTTTAAAGTTGAGAAAACTATCCAAGGCCACACAGGTTGAAAATAATAAAGCAGGTATCTGAGTCAGTTCTTTCTGATATTAAATCACATCCTTTTAATCACTATGCTGTAGTACCTATTTTATGAATGTCTTTGAGAGCACTATGTTTGAAGACACAAAATGTTTGAGGACTGTATATTCATATACTGTATATATAATATACATATACTATATATTTAATTCCATTCAATTAAAAACATTTAACAATTACTTAATATGTGATAGTGTTTATTAAATGCTATCAAATACGGAATTATAAATATAT